CATGATATGATAATGCGTTTGAAAATACGTAGCGGCAGCGAAACTCTGCAAGAAAACAAATTAGGTTGTGATTGCAATTTATATTTTACGTTATTACCATCAAAGAAATAAAAGACTGTATCGAATTGAAAAGATGCTTCATGTAGTCATTTCCATCGAACAACTTCTTCTTATTCACGGTTACTTCAAATGATTATTGCATCTAAAATATAACGATACAAACCTATATACGCACTGGAGGAAAGAATAGTAAATAGCCAACAATTTTACAACTTGAATCAGTTATAAATTTAGTTTTGTGCCATTCTGTACTCAGCTCAGCGCTAACGACGGTCTGATTTTGTTTTCAGCTAAATTGTTTACTGACTTTCACAGAAAAAAAAACAAAAACAAATTTAATACACAAGTGAAAAATACTCTTATAGCCGAAAAAAAAAAACAAACTTGTCCAGAACACTGCTGTCTCTAAGAACAGAACTGGTTGACAAGCCCTTGGTTCGTCTTTTCCTGTAAAACTCCTTTGACAACATTAACAACATTATTCGCAACCGATCTAGTAATTTGTCTGCAGAGCGTGTAATATTGTAGATATCAGGGGGCTTCCGGCACTGAATGACGACCGCCACGCGGAGGACGACGCCTTGTAAAAAATTATTCATATTTTACCTTCGATTGTCGCAGCTATGTGGATCTGAGGGTTTGCCTATCGATCTAAAAACTTGCACAGGCTAAACATACAATGACAGTGTTCAATTCCAAAGGAAGATACCAAAGGTTAGCCATTGCTGTTCACGTTTTCCAAAATTAGTAGAACTTGATCGTTTCACGTTGTTGTTTTGCAGGTGACGGACAAGAAATGTATCAACATTCACAACGTACGTGCATAGCTATGGTATTATTTTGCTCATTTGCCCTTTTGTTTGGTGACGTTCTGGATGGCGTCGCCGCCGTGATTTGTTTAATCTCCATATTACTCACTAGACGTAGACTTTAGATGGTAACGCCTCAGTGGAGTCTGGTCTCAATCGTAAGCGAATAGCACTTGTGTGGTCATCAAGACAAAAGAAAAAAGCACTCTTTAATTGGCAACGAACCTCCAGACAATCGTGTTACGCTTGGGTTTAAGAACTTAGTCACCGATCTTTATCTTTGTATGGAGTTATAAAGTTTCAAGTGGAAAATAATTTTGAATTTAAAAATTACATTGAGTTAAATTTCTTAAAGACCAAAAGGTTAACTTTCGATGCTATTATACGGTCGCAGATGGCCTTTGTGCGATAGTCAAGACATAAAAAAAAATAATTATAATAGATTATATCAATTTCTATGGCGCTAAGATTATCAATATATTCCAAAACTCTTAACATGATGGCTATAATTTGAGAAATATGCGCAGTAAGCTTAAGAATTTAAACAATTTACCGATAATTGGTACTACACTCGGCAATTGTTTTTAGGGAAGTCCGGCAAACGTCACAAGGAAGATCCGATTTCGACTGACGTGATTCTAATATTGGACTCGTCAATAAGGCATATCGTTAAGATGGCATGGCGACAAGCACGCGCGATTGAAAACATGCGTAACGTTCTTGCGAGACCTGGTTACGTGTAGTAGCAAGTATCCGCAAATTGTCTAAATTCGTACGCACACATTTCTAGTCTTTAAAATAAATAGATAAAACAATTAAGGATTGTATTTGAAACAATCAGTTGCATCTTGTTGT